CCTGGAACTCACAATATTGCAAATATTTTACATAGAACTACCAATGTTACTTACAAATATCTTACCTAGAACTATCAATGTTGCAAATATTTTACCTAGCGCTACCCATGTTGCAAGTATTCTAAAGGAGGTATTTTCTTTTAAAAGCTTAGCACTGCAGTTCTAGATGTTGACTTCCTCAGGCTTTGGCTGCTTGGGTATACTGTCCTTCTTTGTGTGACCCTGTTCCTCAGTGCTTCTCTCACCAGAGGTGGCAGTAATCATGCTTCCTTCTTTGTTCTGCCTGAATCTTTAACTTTGTTTCCCTTCTTCTTTGATACCATTCTTCTGGCTTTTCTTTTGAAGCCTGAAGCTGTAAAAACTTTAGGGAAGGAGAGTTCTTTAGAAAAGAGTAACAAACAACTCTTGAGTAGGGACTGAAAGTTGGTACAGGGTCGTAGTCATGAGCATAGCAAGGATGGAAAAAGGGGTATAGTAAAATAGTACATTTGAATGGCTTATATGGAATTTTTGTACTTTGTTTTTACAGTTCCCTTCATCTCTTGATCTAAGCAGGCACACTGACACATTCACCCATAATTCATCCTGGGTAATTGGCAATATTTACAACTGCAAAATATACAGCAGATACACACCTCCGTTGAATAATAGGAGTTTTTTATCCTGGGGATCTTCTACATATAAAGTATATCCTGTAAGGAGTTTTTATACTAAGTACAATGATATTCTAATAAGGCAATTTTTGTATGCACTTTGGAAAATTAATTTAATAATTATCATCTTCAGGAGAACAATTTCTAGTAGGTGTTGGTTTAGTAGTAGTTGTGTAAGTGGTTGGGTTTGGAATGTTTCAGATCAAAGTCATTTCCCACCCTCTTTAGCATGCCTGAAAATATGGAGACCAAATGTTTTAATCTGATTATTCTGAACTGCTGTTTGTTCACCTTTAAAATTTAATGTATACTTTTCCACTGTTGATTTCCCATGGTGCAGTGAGTTCAAACAAACTGTTAGATTTCCTTAACATATGGTTTACTCCACCCCAACCTGCCACCTAGTCATAATCATTCATGCTATTTCTTTTCTGCCTCCTCTGTACAGGTCCAGAGCTAAGAATATCAGCAACAGGAGGCATGAGACTTCTGCTACTTCAAACTCATCTAGTATAATTTTAACACCTAAACTATATAGTTTATACTGAATAATAATATTTACAATATTTCCCTAGCTCCATATCAGACAGTATTTCACATGAATCAGAGAAAGAAAAATCGTGATATTTGTTAAATAGGCTGTGGAGAAATTGTTCTATTTATTCAGCACCGTGTATCCTTTGTTGTGAAAACGACAGTTGGAAGTTTAGTGACTTATACAAAGTTGGGCTGTGAACCCTGTTGCTACTGTGGCTAGCCAAGTGCAGGAGTGCAGGCATAGAAAGGTTTGGATCTTTGAATTTAAGAATGATTAAAGTCTCTTTCTCTGAAAACAAACAAAGTGATATTAAATATCACTAACTATATGCCTAGAAGCCACACATCTGGTTTTGGAATCACTGTGTGTTCACATTTACACTGTTTTCCAGTTCCAGGTAAGCAAAGAAAGAGTCTAAGAAAGTTGGCTATTTTCTCAAACCTGTCACACAGTGAAGAGACTCTCAACGGCAAATAAGGAAAAGAGTTGTTCTTATGGTACAGACAGACAGACTGAGATGCTCTGGAGTAGCTTCGGCTGCTAAGACTACTCACAGAGGAAATATTAGGGAGATTTCCAATGCCCATTTGGTTTTCTGAACTTACCCATTTAAAAGTCCCACTCGCTGCTGCATGCTCTTGAGCATTTGTCAAAATATCCCAGTGGACTCAGAAAAAAACAAACCTTTCAAATGACCTTTCTAGAAACAAGAAATTCACAAATGATTGACGGCTTTTACACAAATAATGACAAGCTTGTCTATTTTCTGGTTCTTGTGATCTAGTGACTGTCCTATGATTGAAGTTCTGTGTTACAAGTAAATGCCGCAGTAGAAATATTGCCACTTCACAGCAGGATATGGTGCAAAACAAAAGATCAGTATAATCCTTCCACATAAAACATAGCTGGGCGTCTCATTTAAATATGATTAACAGGAACTAATTAGCATCAGTCCTAGAACAGGTCTGCTAATTCTTCACTGGCATGGGAACTGTGTCGAGAGAATGACAAATTATGTGGCATATAATCACTTAGTAGATACCCAGCAGGCATTCCACTTCAGCTGGTTCTGGGAGTGTCCCGGTAGCTACGGGAAAAGGAACATTGCTTCCTGTCCTTGGTTTGGTATCCTAACCCTGAACGAACATCTGGTTAGATATTACATGACAGGGGAATACTTCAAGGTATTAAATGTATGGAACAAAAAAAAATCTTCACATGATGACTGCAATATTTCTCTTAACTTAAGACTATGAAGGAAATTAGCCAGAGTGGAATGAGAGAAAATACAAATCACCTTTGAAAATGCTGCAGTCTTAGCTGTAAAGTAAGAAAATGTACAGGGATCATTTATGAGAGGGTTATGAGTCAGGAAAAGTGAGCGGAGTTAATTTCCGTTTGAAGGAACAGGAACAAGTTGAGATCTATAAATGTTTCACGCAGCAATTTTGCTTCACCTGATTTGTATGTAAGTCATGAAAACGGAGTGGAGTTTTTTTTTTTTTTTTTCTCCTATGAAAGCTGGAGGCAAATTTGGCTTAAAGCCTAGAAGAATAGAGCACTGGGGGCTCTCAGATTCTGCTCTGGAAGCGAGTTTTTGTGTTTGTGTTGTAGAAAGATCATCTTCCTTCTGTCATTCCCAATGGCTAAATGACAAGGGCTATTTCAATTTTTTTGCTAGTAATGCAAATAATTCAGATCATTATTAAACTTCATAATGTTATTTTTGTCAGATATATCTAAACTTAAAAGATTTCCACTAATGTTAAGGACTAAACCACTAAACTATTAATTCTGTTTATCTACTCAACTCTAACCTGTGATATATTAGTTATATAAACTAAAGCTTCATTTAAAAAATAGTCCACCGAGAAACCACACATACACTGAGCAATTTACAGAGCTGATTGACTCATTATAACTTTAGAGTAGTTGAATTTTGGAAGTCAAAATTAAATACCTTGAGTTATCTTAGGCAATGACTCTTTATTGTCCATGTTGTGAGTGAACTGTGGGAAAGAAAACAGATCCTTACCTTCTACCAATCTAAACATCAGATAACATGGGAGGCCTATGGCAGTTTCCACTTTACTCTAGCTGCCTGCTCAATGTTTCCACTGATGCATTTAAAAAGTGTCTTGATTGAGGACTTTCTTTGTTTTGTGACTAAAAACCTTCAGGAGGGGGCTGGAAAAATGGCTTAGAGTTTAAAAACACTTGCTGTTCTTGCAGTATCCACATGGCATTCACAACCCTCTTTGGGCAGCAGGCACTCCTGAGGTGCATTGCTATATGTGTGTATACATATACATAAAATGAATCTTAAAAGAAACTATTTCATCACTATCCTTGTTGGAACATGGTTTTTGGGCAACTTAAATATGCAGTCCTGGGTCAAGGTCACTCAGAGTTCTTTCCATATTAAACTATTTCTCATTCTATTTGAGGTGAGAATTGTAATTTTTCTATGTTACCAGTCATTATGAATATAGTTTAATTGATGTAGGACTTTTCCCCCTTGTCATTGGCAATGACTCTAAAATTTCCCCATATCATCCTCACTGTTCTATTTCTCAGGACATAAGGGGTAGAGCACCATCAGAATTACAATTACTAGTCCTTTAACTTGCATCACTTTGGTTCGTAGGATAATACTGTCAGTCATAAAGTCTCTAGGCACAGCTTCACCTGGCAACAATAAAGAAAATGACATCAAAGCCTATTAACTGCTAGCTGATTTTTATATATCAAGATAATTAGATGGCAAGAGGAAAATATCAGAATAATTACAAGAACAGTTGGCATTAAGAAAACCAAACAAATGTATATCTTGGAACTTTTTAAAATTTAGAATTCCCAGCCGTGCCATATGCTCCATTATCCTCCACTATCCCCTGGAATACACCTACAGCATTAGCATAATTTATACCATTGCCATTAGTTATGATAAACACACAAGAATTTTGATGTAAAAAGTCGAGTCAACATTCACATAAGTGCAAAGTAGGTCTGCATCATTGGCTGTGGTGAAGGATGACAGCTCTAGACTTCATTGAATGATAGAAATAAAGGATTTATGACAGTGATGCATGAATATCTCATAAAAATTTTTACTAAATTCTGAAATTGAGGTTTAGAATGTGAGATATGCTATATCTTATTTCATATTTTTTGTCAGTTTATTATTTTTAGAGAGGACTGAATTTAAATTTCTTTTTCTTTCCTTTTTTTTTTTTTTTGGTATTTAGAGACAGTCTTTTTCTATGTAACAGCCCTGGCTGTCCTAGAACTTACTTTGTAGACCAGGCTGACCTTGAACTCACAGAGATCCACCTGCCTCTGTCTCCCATGTGCTGAAATTACAGGCTTCCATTACCAAGCCTGATTTGAATTTTAATCTCAAAATTTTCTTCCAAGTTTTTTTAGTTTCTGGCTTTTCTTCAAATCGTTTTCCTTTAGTGAAATGGAACCTTAATTAGATCTCTATAGACTTGTCCAATTCCTCTTTCTGTCAGCGTACTGAGTTTTCAGTTCTCTTTTGTGGTCCATTCCAAGCAGCAAGGTCACTCTAGTTCTTGCTTATGCAAACTGTATGCTAAGTGGGCACTTGGGGTTCAAGACTTTTACCCCGTTTTGATTCTATTTCACAGCACTAGGTGTCACAGATGTTCTTCCTGCATTGCAAAGAGACACTGGCATTTATTCCCCATGCCTTTGAGAAGTATTCAGTTTGCACTATTTCTCTATAAGCTGTGAGGAGAGTTCTATTGCTCGCTGTGGTGGTGGAGGAATGTATTTGGGATACCTACCAGCAGGAATCCTGGGGGGCAGAGATCCTCCTGCTGGCACTGGATGTGGGGCCTGGATGCTGTTTAGAAACCCAGCCCTCAGGAAGCTGGGGCAGAAGGCTTCCATGCCAATTGCTGGGAAGGATCCTTGGAAAAAATAAAAAAAATGTTGTTAATTAAAGGCTTACTCATGGAAAATTTAGTAATTGTTTACATGCAATTAAACTTATAGTCAATAATAAAAATAAATCTCATTTCAAATCTCATTTATGTTTTAGTTCTAAAATTCAAGTATTGGGATATACTTTTTCTCAAAAATTTATAAGACAATTCTATTACATTTTAAAGAAAGAAAGCTCCACTTAGCTAGCTACAATTTTTTTATATAAAAAAAATTCTGTGTATATTAGTCAATGTTCTCTAAGGAAACAGAACTTGTGGAATGTGTGTGTATTTACATATATATTGGATTTTTAAAAGATGTCTTCTTACAGGCTGTGCTCAACAGTCCAGCTAGTACAATAGCTGTCTATAATGGATGGTCCAAGAATCCTGTAATTGTTACATCCACAAGGTTAGATGTATCAGTTGGTCTTCAGTATATACCAGAATCCCAAAGAAACAGGCTCCAATATCAGTGAAGGAATAAACTTGCCAGCAAGAGCAAGCAGGCAAAGAGTAAAAGGTTTCTTCTTCCATATTCTTTTTTTTCTTTTTAATTTTATTTAACTAATGTATTTTTCCATTTATTTTATATACCAACCAGTTTTCCCTCCCTCTTCTCCCATCCCCTCCACTTTCCCACATACCCCCTTCCCATCTGCTCCTCTTCCCTCTCAATTCAGAAAGGGGTAGACCTCCCATAAGCTTGCACAAAGCATGGTACATCAAGTTGGGGCAGGACCAAACTCCTCTCCTTCTGTCCAGGTAATCCAGCATGGGGAACAGGTTACCAAAAGTCAGCTAAGCAGCGGGGAGAGGACCTGCTCTCACTGTTAGAAACCTTACTGAGAGACCAAGCTATGGGATTGTCACACAAGTGCAGAGGGCATTATTGATTCCATTCAGGCTCCATCTTGATTCATTATCTAATTATAATTAAAGATTTAAAAGTAGCAGAATACTATACTATAATAAACCATTCTCTCTCTCTCTCTCTCTCTCTCTCTCTCTCTCTCTCTCTCTCTCTCTCTCTCTCTCTCTCTCTCTCTCTCTCTCTCAGAAGGAGCTTCCTATCCAACCTTGGCTGGCCTGACTGGAACTTTTTCAGATCAGGTTCGCTTCGAATTCATAGAAACCCACTAGGCCTCTTTCTCTCCAGTACCGGCATTATAAGTTATACACTACTACACTCAGTTCAAAATTTCCAAATCTGCATTTAGTTCCGAGAGTCAGACCATGGATGGTGAGGCAGATACGAATATATGTCACGTCATTTGTATTACCCAGATCTACATGAACGATAAAGATGAAGAATAATAAAGATATTGTCCCAATAGAATCTGAAACCCATGCTGCACCAAAAAGAAAGAATCCAGGAGTAAACCAGAGAGTATTCTTCAAAGAACAGTGAAAAACATGTTTTTTTTTTTTCTTGTGACTGCATAGCATATTCATCATGGATCACAAATAGCTCCTGTGTGTAAGGCCTCCCCCCAAATGTATTTTCTGTCCTGCCGTGTACTCCATCATTGCTGGACAACAGAGTCACTAATGGTGCCTTTAGCACTTGATGCCAGATGGGTGTTGTCTTATAAATGCACATAGCATTTTATTTAAGGCCACAAAAGAAATGATATTGCTACAACAGAAAAAAATATTGTAAGAAGCACAGATTTAATTATATGTCATGAAAACTAAAACAGTTCATTTTAGCTGACAATGGATTTATTAAACCTGAAGAATAGAAAGATTGGTTCAAGTACGTTAGACCTCAAGAAAAAGAATAACTCATTCACACAGAACAACAACAAAAAAAGATATAAATGAAACAACCGCGGAAGCAACTTAGAACAAAGCCATCTAGAGCTGTGCTTCTGAGCAGTGTAAAGGCACTGCACATTTCAAGATGTTGTCTCGTTTTTACTACTTTTGACAGCACCATAGAAAACTACCAATTTAGAAAAGATGCTCATTATTTTAACTCCTTGAAAAGAACTAAATACAAACATTACTTCATTGCTATGATTACATTTATTACTGTGCGCTGTTGTGACAGCTGTCACATCTAATAGCAACTTTCATTCTTCTCAACTTACTGCACCTTTCTTGATGGCTTTTTTTCTGTTTCTTTACCACGGTTAAAAAGGTCTTTCGTTTATTGCAGTGTCTGTTTCTTAAAGTACTATCACCTTATGTAAAGGCTAATAAAACCCTGTAAAAGTGCTGTGCATGGATACATAGTCTGCTGTAATCAGGCATTATGTGATAACCACACTTTATCATTTCTCTTCACTCATAGGAAATCAAATGTAAGGACTTGTTATAGATGGGATATACAATGCCCCCACAGGTGTTTGTTTTCACCAGCCTGTTCCTTGCTGGTGGGGTTATTAGGGAACTTTCTAGAAATTTCAGCAGGTGGCACTTAACTGGAGGAAGGGGATCGCTTGGAGCAAGTCCTTGGGAGATATCTTATCCTTGGACCTTTGCTGTCTCTCTCTGTTTCCTACACACCAACAGATAAAGAATAGCCTCTGCCATAAGTTCCATCTAACAGGACATTCTGTCTGAGAACATGGAGCTAGGCTGAAACCTTTGAACCCAAATAAATCACTCCTGTCTTTAATTTCTTTTCTTTGGGTGTTGCCACCGCCATACTAGAAGTCACCAACACAGGTTTGATATGAAATGATTTTAACAGGCTCAGTCAATTGCTCCAGTTGCTCACACTCTTGACTTTTATTTTTTTAATTGTGAGACATATTAATAATTTATTTTATATCTAAAGTTGCAATGTCCAAAATCTATAGCAGGAGAGTTGTCATTTTTTTTGAACGTTTCGATTTTAGTTATACTCAGTGGAGTAAGCATTTATTAAATATTTATAACATGAATACTTGCATTTCTGGCTTGTTAGTATTTTGAGTCTTTCATTAGAACAGTAGTTCTCAGGGTCAGTGGCACATGGACACTTACGACATCATAAATTAGGATGGTGAAGTTATTATTGGTGCTTAGTATATAGAGGGTTGGGGCCTTGCAATATATAATGTACTGCCATGAAAAGAAAAACTGTCTCTATAGGCTAGTAGCATCCATGGTAAAACCTTATGCTGTAGTGAAATATGATAATTACAGAAGAGGAGGCAGAAAGATTGTAAGAGTCAGAAGACCAAGATGTCTGTTGCAAGAGTATGTCTTCCATATATGATAGGGAAGCTACACCCATGTAATCTCAAAAATATAGTTACCAAAATTAGACCTGCATAATGACAAGACTGACTGATTTGCAACCACATATGGGGACAGCTCACAGGATGCCACCCCTAGGTGAAGAGCTATGGGTTATTAATGGCTGCCGAAAGAGGGACACAGTCTTCTCCAGGGGCTAACTTTCGAACAAATTACTCGATCTCACGTGGTCATCACTAAACACATGTACATTAAACATTACTACTAAATGTACTCTGCAGGTTTTATGCTCATGCATATGCATGCATGTGTGTGCATATTTGTGTGTGAGTATGTTTGTATGTAATAAAAGATGAAGAAAGTTCATGGATTTGAGACGGTGTCAAGGTGCAGAGTAGAGGAGCTGGATGGGAAGACAGAGGGGTACAGTTGATATGATACAATACTTATGAATGAAATTCTCAAAAACATTATAAATGTTGTTTTCTACTAGTGTATATAATGAGGCAACACCCCAAAATGGCCAAGTTGACATGGCCTTCATCTGACATCTGACTTGATAACATAATTGAGAGTTACTTATGTTTTTATGTCTGAAAGTTAGCTGGCCTGCAGGGTAACTATTTTCAATAATTAGAACATATTTGGTACAAACTCTATGAAACAAAATCTCATTTCTAAATTGATTTTTCAGCAATGTCTCTGGAACAACTTTGCACTAAAATTAGGTGTCACTGGGCATTTGTGTAAAAATAACACACAGTGGCAGAGAACTCTGAGCTCCCTCTTCTTTATTTCTAAAATGAAAATGACAATGGATGATACCTCCTAGGGCTCATTTCAGGATTTAATTGAAGCAAATCATCACATATATAAGGCAGTGTTATCATCTCACTATTATAATGCTAATTTTAAAAAAAGCTTAAGGAAGGAAATAAAGAGGAAGATTGATGAAATTTTGTGACTCCTCCCTCCATGTACATTCATAAATCCTTAATAAAAAAATTAAGATCCATCTTTAAACACTACATGCCAGTCATTTATTTTTATGCTAAAATGTTAAACAATAAGACAATCGTTTGTGATGCAGTTCCTTCATAGTACTTTTGTTAAGTGACAGTTTTGCAAGCAATCATTATGATCTATGTGTAGAAATCCAAAATGCTGACTTAAAGATGAGCACTCCAGAATTGAACTTAAGAAACATGTTCCCATGCCTGTGGCAAAAATACAGTGTTTTGTAATGATCATAGAAGAATGTGTTACTCCTATATAGGTGTTCTCAACCATGTATACATGTTAGGAAAAATAATAAAGCCCAAGGGTCAAGCATAGTATGGAGTGTCCATACTTTCAGCTCTTGAAATGAATTCTTTATCAACTATATTATGACAAGGAAGCATTAAGTAATCATATATAAATGGAAGAGACTACACACATTAACAAATATTAAAAATAAGGATTTACTAATAACAAATAGTTACAAATAAGTGGCATTTTGTATGTACCTCTGTGTATTGCTATTATATTGTCAAAATAAAATGAAGTTAGATCTTAAATTATTAAAATCCACTTTTATATCCTTCCTTCCATTTTTCCTTCCTTCCTTATTCCTTTGTTCTTTCCTTCCTTTCTTTCTCCCTTCCTCCTTCCTTCCTTCTCTCTCTCTCTCTCTCTCTCTCTCTCTCTCTCTCTCTCTCTCTCTCCCCAGTCTGGCCTCCAACTCACAAAGATCTGCTTGCCTAACTGCCTCAAAAATGCTGGGATTAAAAGTGTGCACCACCAAACCTGAC